AATCCTATCACGTTATTAAAACTTTCCAAGCTAAGCTTGGGGGTCTTGTTTCTGATAGTATAGAAGGGCAGAGTTTGCACCTCCATCATCCCCTTCTCAATTCAGCAAAAGGGTTTCACAACCACTTTTGAGTCTTACAAGGGAGTCCCCAACGTGATCGGATAACTTTGTTTCAATTTCGACATCGTATCAACCAAATTTTCAATTAAATCCAAAGATATCGCTGAGGATCACTACTACGAGCAGTAAACGGAACGAATTCTTACAACCAAATTTTTAACCACTCAAAGGCATATTCAGTTATTCTGTTGATCAACTAGTCAGCTTTACAAACCACCCAATGAAACAACAACAAAAAAAATCTGAAAAGAAAATTTACGAACAAGATCTGAACAAGGTATCTCCAAGGAGCAGCCTATCTTACAGACCGGACGAAGGGCAGAAAGACCTCAGGGATTCGGATAAGGTAGAAGACTGTTGAAAAGAACTTTGGAATAACTAGAAGGAGCAGCCTGATTTATAGACCGGACGAAGGGCAGAAAGACCTCAGGGATTCGGATAAATTAGAAGACTGTTGAACAGTATTCCCAGATTTTAAGTATTTTTATATTAGATTAAGAAAGAAAAACCTAACTTGCCCTGGTAAAGAGACCAGAGACCATATTATTATTTGTTTCTTTTTCAGAGCACAGGAAAATTGTTATCAACGGAACGTTACATCAAGAAGACTAGAAAAATCAACCAAAATCAACATGAGTTTACCGTATAGTACCCCAGATTTGGAAGAAGGATTCCGAACACCATTTAGCTCTTCAAAGAATCGACCCTTTGCTTCGTCTTCGTCATTTAATTGGAATCCGGAACCTACGGTGCCACCTCCTAAAGTAAATAAAGGAAAATCCGCAGAAAATCAACCACGAGATCCGTTGGACGAGGATTATGACTCAGACAATAGTACCCCGCAACAACGTCGAGATCCACCCGAGCCCCCTGTGTCTGGATACGGATTACATAATACAGCAAACAGAAATGAACCAACTTTTAATCGACAACAGCAAGAACCCGAACAACAAACCTCCTCTCGCATCATTAAGCATTTCAAATTCGCATACGACGGTAATAATTTTATGAAGTTTTTGACACGATTTGAACGAGCGGCAAAGGCATGCAAGGCAACGGATTACGATAAAGCTTTGCAAATTGGACAGTTTATGAAAACGGAAGAACTCCTTACTCAACTAGAGGCTATGGACGGATACGACACATACAATTGGGCCACGTTACAAAAAGAAATGATTGAAAGATGGGGAGAATTTGACGATATAACTTCGTATACGACCACCAACTTAGTCAACCTGGTAGAAGAATTTTCTAGAGAAGATGAAATACTAAGCTACCACGAATTCCAGATGTACCTTCAAATTTTTTCAGAAATCCTCAATGAACTCGTCAGAAATAAGGATTTAAAGAAGAGACGGGATGCATCACTCCTTTTCATCAGTGCTTTTCCTCAAAGGATTCAGAACAACATCCGACAAACTCTAATCAAGAATGGACAACTCCCAACAGGACTGGACGGAATTAGCCTACCCCCTCTTTGGAAACACGTTACGGAAGTTGCAGAAATGCAGATCAGACTGGAAAATGACTATCTTGAACGCATACTGACTTGTAAAGCTCCCAACTGCCATCCAAAGGCTGAACAATCAATAGAAGATCTGGTCAAGGAAGTCGCTTCACTCAAAAAACAAATAATGGAACTCAGACCACCTGTTATATACAAACATTCACCACCTGTTGCCCCATTGGAACCAGTAGTGGATTTTACGGAACCGGAAATTGACGTCTTTGAGCCAGCCACAGATATTATGGGACCAGGAACATACTATGAAGAACCCAAGATGGGTATTACGGAAACAACACTGAAAGAAGCTACAACAACTGTACTGCCGGATCTGGTGACGGAATGGAAAGCGGCTTCAGTAAACTTAATGGATACAGCAACGGAGCTTTTGCATACAGTGATTGACATACCAGAAATGGAAGTGGACAAGCTGGATATTTTTCAAAGCACCAAAACCTCCGAAGTCTTGGATCAATCTGTTCAAATCATAGAAACATTGGATCAGCCAACACGGATCAACAAAAATTACGTCCAATTCCTCCTCACGGAAAACTTGACAGAAGATCTTGAATTTCCTAAAGCACCTAAAATTCTTTGGATTCAAAATATCAACAAACACAAACCTAAGCTCTTCAACAAACAACTGTTCAAACCTTACTTGGATTCAGATCAATTATCTCAAGACATCAACAACACACCCCAAAACCTGGAATCAGAGAAAAATCAAAATAATTCTGTCTTATTAGCTACCAAAAAATTCAAAACAATGGGCTCAGTTTCACCCAGTCAAATTCTTACATTACCAATTTCAAACTCAACAATTGTTGAAGAAACCTTTGTGATTCCGCCAAAACCGAGTCCACCAGATATTACGACAACACGTATTACTATTCTGGAAGAACAAAACCAACTCACCCCACTAGTGGAAGATTCAATCAGCAGACTCTCTCACTTTGGCTTTTCAAATAAATTATTTCTCTTATTTTTCTTACTCATAAAACTCCTTTTTCAACTACCTCAAAAGATTCCACCAGACCACTTTGGGCAACTTTACGCAACGTTCAAACCCCACAGGATCCTTGTTGGAGTTGGTTGAAATGGAAAAAAATAAAATAAAACTATTTTCTTCTTTTTGTTACTATTACAATACACTAAAATAAAGAAAAAAAAAATCATCAGTTTCAACTTCTTCAAAGTTCCACAGTCAAAATCATTCAAGTTGGGGGAGAACTCACTCTTTTTTATTAATCACTCTTTCAACCTTTCTCCCTCCACTCAACTTCATAAACCCAGTTTTTCCAATCTAAATTTTCTTACCACTCACAAACCCTATAAAAAATATAACACCCACAAAAAGAAAGGCTACCTCCTGGGCAAGAGACTAAACTGTTGATCACAACTAAAAATAAAAACATCATAATTAGCTTAACTTGATATTTTTCAAAGTTGGGGGAGGAAACTCACATTCTTTCAAAAATTCACTCCTTCTTTACCATCTTCCTCCATTATCTCCTATTTTTATATATAAAAACTCACTCAAGACAATCTTTGCAAAACCCACATTCTTTTCTCATTCCTACTACCCTCACCTCACTAACTTAATTTCACTCACAAATCTCACTCAGAACACTCCTTATTAACTCACTTTCCTTTCATTAGGGCTTCTCTTGCATATCTCCTTTCTCACTTACTCTCAAGAATCCCACTGGACTTGGGAAGGTTGAGGACAACCTGTTAAGTTGGGGGAGGGGGATTTCATTTCATCGGACTCATCTGGTTTTTCAAAAATTTTCAATTTTTTTCAGCTGAAAACGACCAGGCTAGAGCTATTATTTCTATCGATTGGCATTGGGACAATTGAATAACCTGGAGTGGACGTGATTCAGATTCATTAGTATACATTCGCTGGTCGCGCGAGGGGCTCAGAAATTGTTAACTAACCTGGGAACCAGTGAAAAGATCGAAGGAAACAATTGACGAGGCAGCTACAGCTTCAAGGCGAAAGGCAGATATCTCGATCAGTTGTGAAATCTATAGCTCAAAACACCTTTGCGATTCGTCAATAGAGATCACACCTACCTGTTATAATCGACAATTCAAGGCAGTACTGTTGATGGTCATGTTGAAGGGATCGAGGTAGCATTTTTGTGGATGATTTTGGCGAGCAGAGGGTCGCCTTTTATAGACCTGGTGACTGCAGCCCCTCTTACCAAATCCCCAGGGAGAGCTGAGGACCGAATCAGCTGACCAGCTCGCACAAAAAAAAAAAAAAAAAAAAAAAAAAAAAACCAACCGCTTACCGTGACCATCGAAGCGATTGACAAACGTTTCTGACTCCGGCCGGCATAGATTCTCCCAGAGCAAATTCGGCAGAGTATCGTCGATCCAGGAAGTTTCTTGAAGATGATCAGTCTTGTCGCACGGAAAGCGACTATCAGCTTTCAACAGGACAAGGAAGGTTAATAAACAAAGAAAATAACGATAAAGAAAGACGACTTACGGCGGCGATGCCATCAGCGCCAGTCAATCTAGATCGCAATCGAGTATCTAACCACCGCCGCCGCGTCAACGCCGATAACGAATGCGGGAAAGGAAGGGATCGACGAGTGTCGATCTTCAAAAGTCAAAGTCAAGGCTGGAATTCGGCGGAGAAAACGTCGATTGACAAAAGTCGAGGCTGGAAATCGGCGAAAAAAAAAAAAAAAAAAACGACCATTGATGAAAGTCTAACTGACGAACTTGAAAGTTCAAAAGGAAAAAGACAGCTTACCTGGGAAAGATCCTGTCGAGCCCACTGAACGACGATCGTCCAGTTGGAGATGGAGATTAAAGGTGGTTGAGAAATCGGAGGAGGTGACATTACCACCGAATTCAAAGGAAACTTAAACATACATAGGTTTTTATTTTGTTTGCGCCAACATCGATGACGGAAGGTCGGATGGGAAAAGATCGACAGTCGTGATTGTCCAAAATTCGATGTAGAATGTTGATCGTGAACAGTCGGAGGTCGAAAGTGAGGCCGGAGGAGTTATCGGACGAGGCAGGGGATATGATGATATCCTCTGATATCCCCTCTGCCGGAGCCTAGGCCGGTCCATATTCTCGGCAGGACCCAAGGATCGAGTACCGAGAGATCAGTGCTGGCACCCGGAACACTCCATATTCGGAGTTCGGCTGCAAATCGGACCTATCCGGTAGCTAAACCCCGGGTTAAAACTCGAGCCCCGAGGCGCGCGACCTCAACCAATGAGTCAAAGAAAGCAACTGCGCTTGAGAGCACGGCTACAGCGCCAGGACGTCGACTGCTGCGCAGCTGCGCGTGCTGCGGACTGTGCACAAACAAGGTTTGACTTGAAAAAAAAACTTAAGAAAAATTAAAAATTCACACTGTTTTTACCCCTTCAGAAACAGCAAAAAGGGGATAAATAAGGGCTCCTGTGGCCAATTCTTTGAGAATTCCAGAAAACCTATTGTAAAAATTAAATTCAACTTTAAATTTCAAGAAACAGCACTCTTCACGGCTAAATTGTCTGGGGACAGACAATAAGTTGGGGGAGGATGTGGTAATTAAATATGTAAAAAATTCAAAGTTTTTTTCTTTACACACATTTTTCTCATACATTCACTCAGAAATCAACCAATACAACTTCAGAAATGGATTCTACGG